CGGCCGCCGCGTCGTGGCCACGCTGCTCGCCTCGCTCAGCGCCGTGCGCAGTACCAAGTGCGACGCGGTAGCCCACGCGGTTCTCGAGCAGTTCGAAGAGAACGAGCATCTTCCACAGCATCACGTGGCCTGCCGCGTCATGAGCGCGCTCGCGCAGTTCGGCTCCACCGCCGTCCGCGACAGGGTGCTGAATCTGCTGCGCCACCGCGGCACCACCACGGAGGCGGTGGAGCACCTGCTCTCGGACCGCCACACAGCAGTCACAGTCGAGCAGCTTCTGAAGAGCCACGGCGAGGCCACCGCGGCGTGGTTGTGCGAAGTCCTCTCCCTTTCCCCCACCCCCGCGGTGGAGGCGGCATCGGCGACCAAGAAGAAGAGGGCCGCCAAGCAGCGCGAGGCGGCGAGCGGCGACGGCGACGGTGTCACGAGCGAGAAGCTCATGGAGCTCGTGTGCGGCCCCGTCTCGGGCCAGGTGCTTCTCCAGCTCGTCCACACCGATGCCCGCCGCGAGCTGCTGAGGCGTCTGTCCATCGCGGACCTGCTGCAGACCAAGCGCGGCACCGCGTTCCTCACGCAGCTGCTGACGCTCTCCGCCTCGGCATCGGCGAGCGAGGCGGCGGCTCTGTTTAGCGATGTGCTGGAGCGCCTCGGCAGCGACCTGGGCGAGATGGCGATCGACAAGCGCGCCAACTTTGTGGTGCAGGGGCTGGTGCAGCTGTTGCCAGCGATGGGGCAGGAGAGCGCGCAGCACCTCGAGCGCCTGGAGCGTGGGCTCGGCGGGGCCGCTGGGATTTCGGCCCTGGTGGCGCACGGCAACGGCGTGCACGTCGTCCTCGCCCTCATCGACGCCGCCCTGAAACTCCCGGCGGAGTCTGCGGTGGAGAAGCTCGCGGAGCAGCTGGTGACACGACGCAACATCCAGGAGCTGGTGCACCACCAACAGGGCAGCCTCGTCGTGCGGCGTCTCATGCCCCTCCTCTCCCGCAAGACTTCGAAGGTTGGCCGTCTGCTGCAAGGGATGGTGGAGCAGGACCTGCAACGCCTCGTGTACACGGAGGCCGGAAACCTGGTTGTCCAGGCCTACCTGACAGCTGTGGGCAAGACGGGTGCGTCGCTGCTCGCGCAGAAGCTGGCGGGCGGGGAGGATCTTGTCGCCATGTGCCGCAGCCCGTACGCGTCGCATGTGGTCTTTGCGCTCTTTGAGCTGGTGGACCCCGCGGCGCACACGCTGCTGTGCAACGCGCTGAAGCCGCACGTGCTGCAGCTGTCCACGCATGTCAACGGGCGCTTCATTGTGGAGAAGATGGTCGCCGCCAGCCGTGACGTGCGCGACGACGTGTCGCGCCAGTTCCTTTCCCTCGCCCAGGAGCGCGGCACGCAGCACCTGCTCTGCGCGTTGCTCGCCAGCATGGACGCGCGCGGCAAGCAGGCGTGTGTGGAGAAGGCAATCATGCCGAATCTCGCCTCTCTGGCGACGCACCAGTGTGGCTCTATCGCGTTGCAGAAGCTGATGCAGGCGGAGCCGACAGTGCTGGCTGCCGTTCAGCAGCGTCTCTCGTCGAATTCACTCGTGCGTAGTGACTTGGCGCAGAACTTCTTCGGCAAGTTTGTTGTGCAGATCGCGCAGCAGTCGGTGTGAGTGTGTTTGTGTGTGTGTGTGAGTGGGCAGACGGGCACAGCCGTGCCGTGCGTGTGCGCGCGCGCGCACGTGCAGGTACAGGTCGGTGTTGCCTGCATAACACGTCTAAAGGCGGACTAAGCCTAACCTCTCTTCTTCCCTCTGTGCGTGTGTGTGTGTTTTCTTTTTTTTTTTGTGGTGGTGGTTCCTCCCTTCCGTGTATGCGTGGACATGCACGTGACTCCACCCCATTGCATCTGTGCAGGCACGCGTGGCAGTGGTTGGTAAGGTGAGGGGTGGAGAGGGAGGCACAGGCGCACCCACCAGCCTGCGAGGTGTCGCGGCGTGTTCCTCTCTGTAGGCCGTCCTCCCCCCTCTCCCCTCAGCAGCTCTTTAGGAAGAATGGAGAGTCACTTCCCCCGCACGTGTGCCTCTCTTCTGACAGACGCCTCCGATGTTCCCCGCCAGTGCTCTCCTCTCACCTCACCTCACCTCACCACATCTCTCCTCACCACTCTCTCTCTTCTCCGACTCCGCAAAGCAGACGCGATTCGAGAGTGAATCCGCGCGTTCTTGTCGACCTCCGTCCGTCGGCTGTGTCTGTGTGTGCTCTTGTGCTCTCCCTTCCCCCCACCCACAGCCCTCGCTTCCAGGCGTGTAGGGGCCCGTAGAGCGTCAGCCAACACGCCGCCCCGATGTCCGCCGCCGCGTCCCCCCTTGCGCAGCGACTGGAGCAGGTGCAAGAGCGCATCGGCAGCGTCTACGACACCTACGCCGCAGCCACCGCCGCAGACAGCGTGGCGAGGAAGAAGCTGGATCGCCGCACCCGCGCGCGCCTCCAGCAAGCCCTGACGGTGGACCTTGGCGCGCTCTACCGCGATGTCTTCGCCGCCGAGCCAGTGCGCGTCTCGGCCGCGGAGCTTGAGGTTCTCCTCCGCCTCCTGCCGTCCATGACAGCGCTTGCTGCGCTGCCGACCTCGGACACGCCCCTCCTGCTCATCGTGGCGCGGGCACTTCCGTCGCCGTCCCGCGATGGCGCGGCCGCCACGCTCGTGTCTGACGTAGCCGTGGACGCCGCACTGGAGCAGTTGACACGCTTGCTGCACCACCCCGAGCGGTGGTCGACGGGGGCGACACAAGAGACGCTTGCTATCCGCGCCACCGCGGCCGGCGTCCTCGCGCGACTCCTGCGCTACCACTGCGCCACCGCGGAGGAGGCGGCGGTGGAGGCGCAGTGGCGGCGGTGGCAGGAGGCAGTCAGCCACGCGCTCCTGGACGAGCTGCACTCGTGGGTGGCCGAGCTGGAGGCAGTGTTGGCGCAGCCGGCCAACGACGCCGCACACAAACGGCCGTCCGCCCTCAAGAAGAGCGCCTCCTCCACCGCAGCATCGCTGTCGGCGGCCGCGGTGGCGGCGCTACTGTGTCAGCTGCTGAGCCTTGCGACGGCCCTCGCCGAGCACCCATGCGCCCGCTCCCTCCCCAGCGAGGCGTGGTCGCCACTCCTGGCGTCTGCAGTGTCCGTTATGGGGCCCCCGCAAGAGGCGACACGGCGGTTGGAGCTCGCGTACACAGCGCTGAGCCTGGTTCTCGCGGTGCGACGCGCCGGTGTGGTGTCCCTCGGTGTGTGGAGGGAGGTGGGGCTGGAGGTGGTGGCGAAGGCCGTCCCACGTGGTGCGGCGGATGCGCCGCTGCCGTTGCCTGTGTCGCCGCTCTCGAGCAACGCGGTCAGCTACGCCTCCCTCGTCATGTCGTACGTGCGGCTTGTGAAGGAGCTGGCGCTGCTGGAGGTGGAGGAGAGCGTGACCGACAGCGATGCGGTGAGAAGCACCGCGAGGCAACTGCACACAGTCCTCGCGGGGCTTGTGGAGGTGGCGACACACGTCTCATTGGAGCAGAGCGAGTCGACTGCTGAGGCGCCAACGAGTGCCGAGGCGCGGGTGTCCCTCCTTCCCGTCGTTGTGAAGGACCTGCTGAGCGTTCGCGGGGCGAGCCGCAGCTCGCCACGGCAGTACGCGAGGTATGTGCACGGGATGCTGGTGGGGCGCGCGCCGCTTGTGCCGTGCATCGCCACACTGCTCGCTGGGGACTGCCAGACCCAGGCGGCGCTGCTGGCCTCGCCACGAGGGCCCACGGTACTGAACGCAAATGCGGAGATCCTCCAGGGTGTGTACCTGTGGGCAATCCACGCAACCGTCGACGAGGGGCTGTTGGCCACGTCTCACCGCACGCAGCCCGCGGCCGACCTGCCGTGGGACTCGTATGACGCCGCGGACGTCGCGGTTGGTGGGTTGACTGTGCGCCTCGCCGACGTCCTCTTGGCGTGCCCGGCACTGTGCGCACGCGCGGAAGTGGCAGTGCTCGCAGCGCGCATAGTCGCGTGCGAGGGTCTGGCGCTCCTGCTCCATCTTCTTCTGTTCGTGGTGCGTCTGCACGGCGTCGCGGATGATGTGTCGTGGAACGTGCGGTACCGCGAGCGCCTGTACGCGGCGGAGGAACGCGTCCTGCGCGCCGTTGCCGCCTTCGACTGTGGCTCGCCGCCGGTGCTCACCGCCTTCACCGACGCGCTCGACCAAGCGAGCGCGCTGCTGGGGCCGACGGCCGCGAAGGTCGGCGCGCTGCTGCCGTCCTCCTCTCGTCCCTCGCTCGCCGCCGCCGGATGTCAAGGTGCGCTTGAGAAGTTGATGGAGGTGATCCCGATCTTCTAGCACCACCGGCGCTGCCTCCCTCCCTCCTTTTTTTGAGAGAGCGATTGGGAGGACGTTCCGTTGCCTGTTTCCCATGCTTTTCCGCTCTCCACGAAAAAAAAAAAAAAGATTCAGACCTCGCCGCACCGCCGCCGCACCGCCGCTGCCTCCGCATGCGAAGCAACAGCCCCACTTCCCATTCTCTCTTCTCCTGTCCGCCCTTTTCCACTCCCCACTCCCTTCACCGCGGTACGCAAGAAGGAAAAAAAACAAAGCACCACGACGCGCCGGGAGAAGAGTGCGGGCGGGGAGCGGGAGGCACGCACGCACCTGCCAGCGCCGCGCCGCGAAGAAAAAAACACGCGTGGCTGGTTCTCTCTCCCTTTTTTGTTGTGCGGCGAAAATGTGATGAGAGTGGGGTTTGAACCCACGCCCTCGAAAGGATTGGAACCTTAATCCAACGTCTTAGACCACTCGACCATCTCACCTTGGGCTCGCGGGCGGAACGCCTCTCTGCGCTGGTGCGCCGCCACTTCTGTCTTGTGAAAAGGCGTGCTCGTTGGGCGTGTAGCTCAGTGGTAGAGCGTCCGTTTCGCATACGGAAGGCCTAGGGTTCGATCCCCTACTCGTCCACATTTTATTTTTGCACCGCCAATATATACTCTTGGCAAGAGAGAAAGACGAGGCGTTTCCTTCGAGCGCCGCTGGTCTAGTGGCATGATGGTACCCTCCCAAGGTATTGACCCGGGTTCGATTCCCGGGCGGCGCACACTTTTTTTTTTCCCGTGACACCTTTTCGCAAGTCGCAAGTTCTTTCCGAGGAGAAGCCCATGCGGCTGTGTAAAAGGTCAGGTTTCAACTTCGAAGAGTCGGACCGAGTGGAAAAGATGGCGCGAGAGATGACCACTTTGAAAAGGGCCCCCCTGCAATGCGGAAGGAGTCTCAGGCGCCGGCCCGTTACAACTGCCACCGCACCGGGCACAAAGCAGCGCAGCACCTCTCCCTTCGGGGAAAACGCGGCAAAGCGCGACGACGAAGCCCGCTCCGCAGCACACGGCGACCGGAGGGGCAGCAAAGAAACCAGGGCGGGGCCCACCCCAAATGACTGAAGAGTGGGCCCACACACGGGATGCGTATCATCAACGCGCAGGTACCCGGCACCAACATGATGGGGATGGTGCCCCGTCCACCAGGGAACCGACCGCCACAAGCCTCCAAAAAAACGATGCGAGGATGTTGTGGGACGGGGTGGAACCCGTCAGCCCCGAGATCGCAAGTCTCAGGCCACAGGTGAACACGGTGGCGGCCGACATGTGCGAGCCCCCGACGTGGGAGCAACGCACCTCCCCGCTGCGCAGTTTCCGGATTTTCTGCGTGGGCACGGGTCTCCCGATAAACTCAGATGCGACACCGATGTTCCTGGAGCCCCGCGAACTCAAGTACTCCACAAGACTGCAACATGGCACGACTCTGAAGGCCCTCCTGACCAAGGACATCTTGACAGTAGACGCGTACCTGGCAGGGTGCAGGAAACGCGCAGCGAGGGACGACATTCGACAGGCGGAAGGCATCCGAGCGGAGGACCTGAAAACCGTCATCGCAACAGCCACGACGACACAAGACGCCACGATGATGAAGATGGCGTGGATGACGGCAAGCAGGTGGGCAGAGGTGAAAGGACTGCAGACCGGAAACCCGATCCCCCAGACGGATGGAGGCGTGGTGATCACCTTTGCGGCAGTACCAAAGACCGCGAAGATGCACCCATTCTGAGCGCATCGATATGTGCGGCTCACCGGAGAAGTGGCGCGAGAGCTGACAGCGCTTTACAGGGGGCTGGGGCCGGACCAGCCGTTGACACGAATGGCTACACAGCAAATGGCCGCGAAGTTACGGCCAATGGGATACCCCGCGCACCCCATCAAACGCGGAGCCCATCAGCAAGCCGCGGCACTTGTATCCAGCCATCGGCTGCCGGAACGGAAGCTGGTTGCCTTGGCGAAGACACACCGACCCCCTAGCCATCTCGTCCACGACGGTGCGGTATCTGGGCCCGCAGACGGCGACGCTGACGGCGTCGCACACGCTCCCGGCCCTCTTGGGAAACCCCATCGGATTGAGCAACCGACGGCTGCTCCATAGGAGGACGCGGAAAAAGAGGCAGAGGTTTGTAGGACACACGGTGGTGCGGCGCGCCGTGGCGTCTAGGACGGCTACGCCGGAAGAGAGGCAGACGCCGCCGCCGCAACGAATGGACGTGCAGCCACTGTACGCTTTCACCCTCATGAGGAGGATGGCACCAGAGGTGCGAGCACGGCTTGGAGAATTGTGGGAGATGCTTGGTATCACACCAGATTCCACACCAGGGGCGCTACCCCTGAAGACGATCAATGCAAGGGATGCGAACACCCTATTCGAGGCGGGCATTATCGTGAGGGCATCCGAGTTGCCCACCACGGGCTGGGTAATACCCTTCTCGGTGGTGGAAACAAAAGAAACAGGCCAACGAACGCGGTTTATAGCGTGGCCAAAGCAAAAGAACGCGGCGGACGAATACGAGGCAGACGTGCCTCTGGGACATGCCTCTAGACACTTGGAGGCGGTGTGGTCAGAGGGGGCCTCGACCTTGGACTTGCGCGCGCCGTTCTATCAGGTTCCCCTCCCCCAGGAAAACGCGCGGGCCGCCTTCCGATTCAAGCTAGCAGATGGAACCCTGGTGGAGTTGTGCCGCTTACCAATGGGATGCGGGGCAAGCCCGGAGATCATGCAGATCCTCACCTCGGTTCTGGCAGGGGCCTCGGGGGTAGCCACGCCGCGTACCGTGGCGCCGGCGAGCCTTCGGGTGGATGTGTAGATCAACAACATACGGATTCATGGTCCGATGAGAGACGTGACGGAGTGGTCGGAGAGGATCCTCGCGAATGCACGCGACGCCAGAGTGACGATAGGCGAGTACGAAATCGGGGTGCGCACGTACACGTTTGCTGGCGTGGCATTCAACCACACCACGCACACCGTTTGCCTGGGAAAAAAGGCACATCAGCACCTGCTAGACACGCCAGGGTGGGATGCCATGACCATTGGAGACACGGAGGTGTTGGCTTCGCGGGCCATTTTTGCGGCAGCAGTTCTGGGAAAACCACTGTTTGAACACTGCTCTTTCCTTCAAAGCGGTACGCCGGCACCTGAGCGCGGCGAATCGGGGACAGAGAGCAGTGGACGAACAGGCGAACGTGTCGCCGTTTTTGTCGCTTTGTGGGGGAGGGAACCTTCCACACCTGTTGCAGCAAAATGCACCGCGCACCGTGAACAGGACGGGAGCCGAGCCGCCAACCACACTAGTGACCGACGCATCAACCAAGGGCTTGGGGGGTAAGCACTGTTCCGGGTCGATGGGTCCGTATTGGTCGCGGGAGGCCGATGGACACACCCGCCAGGCATGATTATGCAGGCAGAGGCACGAGCTGTATCGCTGGCATTGCTGAGCTTCAAGGAACACCTGACACCGCTGTTACGGATCCTCATCGACAACACTTCAGCTTTTTGGGGGGCTTTGAGGAAGGGCATTTCGAAGTCTGGGGTTTTGTCCACAGAGCTAGACCGGGTTCAGAAGTCGTTGACTGCTGACGGAATTGTGGCGCAGTTTCGTTACATTCGTTCGGAACACAACGTGGCCGACGCCCCGTCGCGGGGGAGATCGGACTGACGAAGGAGAAACTCGCGCAGGGGCATAACTGGCGAAGGAGAGACAGGGACTCTTGGGATCACGGTGAGAGGGATCAAAAATCCTTCACTTCGCAGTATGCTACTGGAATGAGAAACGGAAAAAAAAAAAACAGAAAGAAATGGAACAAGAGGTCGGTCTGAGGATCACCTCTGAGATGGAAAGTAAAGGTGAACACATGAATGTGAATGCAAGCAAGATTCTGCTGCCACTCTCGACGCTTCCTCTTATTCATTTCTTTCTGTTTTAATTTTCGCCCCTCACCCGAGCAGCACACGGCGAGGTGCGTGGTGCCAAATCCCCCGGCGCCCATCACGGGAAGCGGCCGGAAAGAAGCTGCCATAGCCCAAGAGCAAGCAAACAACACGCAGCAGCAGCTCGCGCAGTTGTTGGCAGCCTTCAAGGTTGAGAGGCAGGAAACGCACGCCACCAACGCTGCCATCAACGGCAGAGTGGCCACAATAGAGATGAATACGTCTCAGCAGTTCCAAGCAGCACGTGAAGCACAGCAACGCCTTGAACAAACGGTACGCGACTTGGCTGAAAATCTCGCGAAAGCCACCGCTCCTCCTCCCACGGCCAGCATCAACGCCGCTCCCCAAGAGCCGCTCAGCAACGCCAATGCGCCCCCGCCCGCCAGCGCCCCTCCGCCACAGTCGACACCAGCCAGCGCTCCCCCGCCGCTGCAAAGCAACAACGGCCCGACAGCCCACGATGCCCAATCACGTCACAGCAACTCGCCGGGATCGAGCAGATCGGGGGGGAGCAGCTCCCGAAGCTCCGCCCACGAACCATCGGAACCGGAGACAAGGAAAGCAAAGGTCAAATTCTCCCCGGACAGCAATGACGCTGACACCTCCAACCAGCGCCACTTCGAGCCACAGAAGTTCGACTTCCTCCGCCCGGAGACGTGGCGGATATGGGTGGGTTTTGGCGACGACACGACCGTGCTGATCCCCGCAACCCCTCAGGCCGCCATGGGTCCGCACCCCGACACCAGCCACCCGCTGTACGCGCAGTGCGAAGGATACGTCGAACGACTCCAACAGGCATTGGATGGCGTATACCTTGGCGCGAGCATGTCGGACGGCAAAGGACATCCAACAAGAGCACACGGATTTCTGGTGAACCTGGTGCTCGAAATGGCGACCTTCGGGGCGGGGAGGTACGGTGCCTACCAGGGTGGCGCCAACCATGCGGCACAGAAGACGATTCCACGTCAGATCCTCCGCGCCATGCAGCAAGTGGAGGGCAATACCGGGATTCCGTTCCACCTCAGCAGCGGCGGACAGAAAGGCACGGGAGGTCACCGACCGCGCCGCCGCAGCAACAGGAAAGGCGACAAGTCCAGGGCCGAAGGAGAGCGGGGTAGGAGCGCTGGGGGCGCCACGCGGCGCCTTCGCCCCGGGGAACAGGGACCCCTTCACAGCGGGGCGAGGACGACGGGCCAGAGAGCGGGCGGAACCCGGTACCCCTCGCGTTCATCATCGGCGGGCTCCGTGCACACAGCAAGGGAAAAAAACGGGCGAGGCGCGGGGCGCGGCGCAGCATGAACTGTCCAGGCGCCGGGGATTCTCAACGTCGACGGCTTTCCGATGTTCCCAGCACAAGCGCTGCTGCAACAACGCCGCACCCCGAATGCGCCACCACCCGCCGACCCGTCCCCCGCGCCGAGAGGGCTCACCCGGCCCAATCCACGCGATTGCCTCTCGCGACAGACGCAGAGGAGAGAGAGCTCCCCGAGGGCGGCCAGCTCTCACCAAAAACCCTCATCCGACAGGCATGGCGTCGACACGCCGCCAACAGAGAGGTTCTCCCACGCTCCGGAGATGATATCGGAGCTGTCGCTGGAGTGTCAGCTGGAACTGCTCGCGGCACCCGCCACCACGCCTTCGGGGCGTTTTCTGACGCACCCCCTGGTGCCTCGGCAGGCGAAGATTCGCATAGCGCGCCTCCCGCAGTATCGCAGCCTGAAATCCAGCATCACACACCTCGCGGCAGTCGTGCGCGAGGGCCTGTGGATGCAGCGCACGTGGAGACAGTACG